CGACAAGCTGGGTTTCAGCTTAGAAGATGAGCCCCTAGAGGAAACCACAAAGGATAATTGAAAAAAAATGTATACACCCTCTGATTGTGACGCTTAGAGAGAGCTTTATTTTTTAAGATGAACCGAATGTTCCTCTTTCCCACACTACCTTCTTTGACTCTTCAAGTTACTGTGGTAAAAAGGAAGACATGGACATAAATCTACCCCCTTCTGGGAAGGGCAAGCAGATGGAGAATTGTTTTTTAGTTTTACTTTTGATTCAGGTAAGTGGGTTTTATGAGTTCTGGTAAGGTGTGTACACCGTGGATTCGACCTCTGATCTGCAGGCACCAACCTTTTCCCTTTGAAGCTGGCTTAACTGGGGATACTATTAAAAGAAGTGGGAGGTATGTGGCTGCTGCTTCCTCGTGGTTTGAAAACGTGCTCCACAGTGCTCTCCTTGCCTCTGACATAGGCGGTGTCTGCCTGTGGACCCCCGCTGACCAGGCCTCTGTGGAGTGCCAGCTGCAGAGTGTCGTACTAGAGTAGAGCTGGGTTGAGCCCTTAGGAAGAACCTGGTGCTAGGTTTTTTGCAAGATTTTGTATACACTGTACTTTTGCCCTAGTGTTTTCTGACTACATCTCACCGCAGCAGGGTTCTGTCACTCCACACACTCCTTTTTCAGAATGTTCACCTGATCTGTGATTTGATTTCTTCTTGAACCATCTATCTATTAGTTCCACTCTGTATCAGGATGGGAGCAAGCAAGTGTCGTACTAGCTGATGAAGCAGGCTCCTTATACCCGTTAGCCACTCTACTGCTGTTTGGCATTTATGTCTTTATCATTGTGGAGATTCTTCCTTGAAGAGCTCTTGACACTGGAGAGAAAGGGCCAGCCAGTAGACATCCAAGTAGTAGTACCTATGTACCTCTGCCTGTGCAGGGGGTTATGTGACACTGAGAAAGGGATCGCGTAAATCTAGACAATAGGCGCTGCTTGGGAGTGAACGGCAGAGCAGCTGCACAGATGCAAGTCAGCGTTCATGCCCACGCCCCTGCGGGCTGCATTGAGTCCCCAAGTTTTGTTTTTCATTGCTAGTGAGGAAAACAATGAGACACCCAAGGATAACAAATACGAGGGAAGAACAAATAGAAAGGTATTTCTTAGATCCTGAGATTGGCCCGGGTGGGGGGCAGGGCTGCACAGAAGGCCTTTGTGGAGGGTAGCTCTGCAGAGTTCATTTACCTCCGTGTGGTGCCCTGTGCCCATGCCTGGCTTCAGCTTAGGACACCCCCACACACAAAGCACCTACTGTTATCTTTTAAGTGAATACTATAAATGGGATTTTCTGGCATTTCTCATTCTTGGTTCTATATGGCAGGCCAGTTTGCTTCTAAGTGGCTGGCACTAAATAGGCTTGTCAAGTGTTTGGGTAGTGTTTAGCCTGCCTAAAAAGAAGCAAAGTGTTAACTCTGCCTGCTTTGGATATTGCCCTTGTCTGTTCTAACTCCTCATACTGAGACGTCTTAAGCCACTGGTCCTGGTTACAGTTTGTACAGTCTACAAAATGTTTATGGAAGGCATAGATTTTAACGTGCTCAAAAAAACTTTTTTGGGTTTTTTTTTTCACCAAGATCAACTCATCTTCCTCCCACTTTCTGCGCTAACCACTTGTTGAAAGCGACATGCTACACCCAGCGTCCCCTCTTCCTCCTGAGCCTCGAAAAACACTATTTCCCTGGAGTCAGTGCAGGAGTAAGGGGATGTCCCCAGAGAGCACCCTCTTAGTCTGAAAGTCTGTCTGCTACTACCATTCAGATAGCTCGTCCCTTGCTCACAAAGAACCTCAATAAAGTCCTGCTGCAAGTGCTGCTTCCCCACCCCTTGAATGTCACTTCTTTAAACAAAACGTATGAATGTTCCCATGTCACTAACATGAATTCAGTAGTTGTCAGTGTCTGTCCCAGCAGTGAAATCATGGAATTCAGCTATCTTTTTAGCATGGATACCTAGCCCATCTGTCTGTATGACTTTGTTTTTTGTAATACTAGAAAAAAGTGATTGTAAAGCATTTAAATTCTAAAATGTAAAATGTGATAAGCCTACAGTTTTGTAGGCAGTAAAGTCATGGCTGCTATTTATATAGAGAACTTATATCAAAATAAGTTACTGTTTGTAAAATTCAGTTTTTGTAGGATTTTCCCAAGGCCCAGCCACCTTGGTAGAATGTTTCTCACTCACTAAACTTTGCAGAAGCTATTCATATTTGGAAGAGTTTTTAATCATTTTTCAATATATGGTCAGAATGTTTGTAAGAAAGCCTAAGTTTAATAATTTTTATAGCTAAAAAGAGATGTAGAGGAGCCAGTATGGTGCTGAGTTGAGGGAACCAGTGAGTGAGGCTGTGTAGTTCAGTTTCTAAAAGGGATGTGTGGTCTGTGTGTGTCTTGTGCTGGCGTGGACGGTCGCAAGGTGGAGTTTAGTAAACTGTACCTTGAAGTAGCTGATCTGCCTGTAAGCTTCACCGACTCTGCTGTCCTCAGTGGCATCCTAGCCACTGCTTGTTTCCCTAGAAAAGCTGTAATGGGCAATCGTGTCTTTGTACTTCCATTCCTTTTTGTCCCTACTTCTGTGTAAACTGGTGATTGCATAGTCAAAGCAATTTTTCCAGTGTGCCCCAGGGCATTAGTGAGCCTTTATAACTGAAAAATGATTCTTATTCTGTTAATCATTCCAAAAATGATACTACTAGATTAATTATTTTGGGTTACTAGCTCCAGGAATTGTTTAGACAACACAAAAGGTCTCATGTGAATATACTTAACATTTTGGATTTAATTTCTGTCTTGCTAAATAAAATGTCTTTGTCTTTACGTTTTTTTATTCAAATAAAATTTGCCAGTGGCTAATACTAGAATAGGTGATAGACATAAAACTTCCCTGTTAGGCTTTCCCAAAAAATGTATCCAGGGGATATATTCTTCCCAGCCTCGTGTTGCTTTAGTCCCAGCGCCCAAGCAGAAACAGGAGGACCTGTTTGAGACCATCTTGATCTGCATAGTGAGACCCTGTCAAAAACAAACAGTACATTGCTCCATTTCATCAAAAGATAACTGCATTCCCAGTTGACCCAAAACTTATGTGACAGCAGTTGAAGTAAGTAACTCCCAAAATGGCAAATTGCCTAGTCTAGTGTCAGCGGATAAATGTGATTTTACAACTCTATCCCATCCCAAATACTGCACAAAACTTATTTGCTCTTTATCTGAAATTTACATTTAACTGGGTATTTTAAATAACAAGTTTCAGCCGGGTGGTGGCGCATGCCTTTAATCCCAGCACTTGGGAGGCAGAGACAGGAGGATCTCTGTGAGTTCGAGACCAGCCTGGTCTACAAGGGCTAGTTCCAGGACAGCTAGGACTGCTTATGCAAAGAAATTCTGTCTCAAAAAAAAAAACATAAGTTCCATTTTTTTTAAATGTGTGTGTAGTGCAGAGTGTTTTGCCTGCATATATGAATACTTAGGAAGTCCAGAAGAGGGTTTGGAGCCCCTGGACTGGAGTTACAAGCAGCTGTGAGCTGCCATGTGGGGTGCTGAGAGTCAAACGGGCCTCCTGAAGAGCAGCCAGTACTCTTACCCTCTGAGCCATTTCTCCAGCTCTCTGGTTGTATTTTTTATTATTGTCTTCTTATATCAAACTACGCTTTATTTCTTTTTGAAAATGATTCATCAGACAGTGTGGCACACACCTTCAATTCCAGCACTCAGGAGGCAAGAACAAGGTCAGCGCTCTGCGAGTTCCAGGACAGCCAGGACTACACAGAGAAACCCTGCCTCGACAAAACAAAAACCACTCACTCCAAAAGAAAAAAAATGATTCTTCCACATTGTGCTTTGATCATTACCACTCCCCACCCCCACCCCCCCCACACACATTATCCTCTTAGTCTCTTCCTGCTGACCAAACCTCTTCCCATCAAGACCCTTCCTACTCTGGCTTGCTCATGAGCCCCAGTGGGGAGTTCCTGGGACGAGGGCAATGCTACGGCCACAACTGCCTCAAGCTCCCCCAGTAAGCTCCCCAGAGACTGGCTGGGCCTCACGTGCTCCGTCCTTGTCCACAATGGAATGTTGATGGACCCAGCCCTGTACAGGTGACCACTGTTGCTGTTGGGAAGGTGTCCACCACGGCATACCCAGATGGTCCCATGACTTCACAGCTCTCCTCCCTGGTCTCTAGCTCCCACATCTTTTCCCACCCCTCTCTTCCAAGATGTCCTTTGAGCAATGGCAGCCATAATACAGATGCTCTGTAGGGTTTAATAGTCATTTATTTTGAACACTTTGACCAGTGGTGATTGCATTAATCATTACTCATAAGAAAAGCAGCTGGTCAGCACTAATCTATAGGTATAGATACTTAGAAGGCAGTTTGATATCATGTCCATTTAGCAGAACAGCAGTAGTAGGTTATCCACTAGGTCCAACGATCTCTCTCCATCCATGGACTTTTGACTAGGTTTCCAGTAGGCGCGAACTCCCCCTATGGAGTGGGCCTCAAATCCTGTCAAAAAGCAGTTGGCTGCCCCCATAACAGTCACAGCACTACTGCTGTGCAAGTATCTTGCTAAGCAGGCTGATACAGTAGCTCGTGAGGTTCAATGCTGAGTACCACGGATGAGTTTTCTCCCCCAGTAGCCTGCTTAGCACCCTCCGGCATTATCAAAGTTAACCAGCAAGGAGGAAGCTTCCAGCTCAGTTCTGGCCTGGTTTCTCTATTTCTTGTAACCAAAGAGTATGGTGTCTCCAGCAACCGGGTCTCATCATCTGGTTAGGCAACCAAGCACTGGCTTTGGCAGGCGTTCGGCACTGGGGGGCTCTCAGCTGGGGTAGCCTCCGACCTCCCCAAGATGGCGCCAGCCTCTGCCACCAGCCTCCCCCGGGGGCGGTGGCTGGGTGGTGAGCGGCGATTGGGCCTCGCGGGGAGGGGGCGGGACCGGAAGTTGTTCTCCGCGGGTCTCGGGTCCTCAACTGGGCACCCACCCGGGTATGTGGAGAGCTGGCAGCATGTCGGCGGAGCTGGGAGTCGGGTTCGCGCTGCGGGCGGTGAACGAGCGCGTCCAGCAGAGCGTGGCACGGCGGCCGCGGGTGAGGACGGGCTGAGGGGGACAACTGCTTGGGGCCGGGTGTCACAGTGACGCAGAAGGGGGTCCCGAAGGGGCGGGGGCTCACGAGGTTTCCTCAGCGCCCTGGCCTTGAGACTGGAGCTTCCGGGAGGTTGGCTTGGCTGGAGAGAAGATGCTCACTTTAGGGAAAGTGTCTCGCCATTTGCCGTTCCCGTCGCCACAGTACTAGAGCCCTCAGAGGGTCACATCCACCCGCGATCACGTGCTTTGCGGCGGAGACCCGTGGTCAAGGTGCGAGACTTGGCAAGGCGTTGCCACCACAGAGTAGCGGGGAGCTGTCAGGCGCCCAATCTCAAGCGTTTTTAATTTTCGTATTGGTTGTTTTGTTCCCGGTTGGACTTCTTATTAGACCAGGTCAGTTATCTGCCTTTCTCCGTGCAAACTAAGCTTCGTTGTGTGGTGAGACAGAAAAGAAAATAAAAGCCCTCTCTGGTCTAGTATTTATGGTCTCAGACTTCAAAATGATGCCTGAAGACACAGTCTTTTCTTAACTGATGTCTAGACGTTAAACAAGTCCTGTTAACTTTTCTTGCCCTCGGTTTCCTTATTGCTGAAAGAAATAAGACGACCCCGGGAGCTCTTACCTCTTTCGTGGTAACAGTATTCTGTTTCTCCAAAGATAAATCTAGCTGGGCATAGTGGCACACGCCTTTAATCCCAGCCCTCTGAGGGAGGAGGCAGGCGACTCTCTGTGAGTTCGAGACCAGCTTGGTCTAAAAGAAAGTGAGTTCCAGGACAGCCAAAGATAGACAGAAAAACCCTATCTTGGAAGAAAAGAGAGAGAGAGAGAGAGAGAGAGAGAGAGAGAGATCTGAGAGAGAGAGAGAGAGAGAGAGAGAGATCTTAGGAGTTCCCTGATGCACCTCTGCACCTCGCTGGGAGGTTCTTAGGAAATTAGGCCTGCTTGTATCAGGAAGCTTTGTACCTGGAAGCCTTCAGTTCATCATTGTGATGCCAGGAGCTAGACACAGTCCATGAGAGCCGGGTGACCCAGTCCCTCGGAAGGAAGCATCAAATGACTTCTCTGAGTCCTTGAGAATACCGCAGTTCAGTGAAAGTCTCAGAAATGGCCGGGTTCGTGAAGATAGCTGTGTGAGGATCCCTGCGCTGAAAGCAGGGAAACCCTGAATTTTATGTAACGGATGTGCGAAGAGTGTGGATGAATCTAATCCTGAATACAGAATTGTTGGTGTCCTGTTGTCAGCGCTGCTATTGGTTGGTTGAATCATAGGTTGACCAGTACATTGTATGCCTTTACCCCAGTCGAGCCCCTGTCGGAATGAAAGCAAGCGGTTTTTTTTTTAATAATTATGTTTTAATAAATTACATTAAGAAATGAGTTTCTAACTGTTGACTTTGTGGTGGTGGGAAGCCTGGAGTAACCTCCCTGCTTAATAGGTTGCTGCCTTCCCTTAATGAACTGATTCTGTTACGTTTTGTTTTAGCTATTGTTCGTATGTTTGGGGGGCTGGAGATACAACTCAGAGATTCACAATGCTAAGCAGACCTTCTGCCATTGCCACTGTGACTGTATGCTCCACCCTATGAAGTGATTCACGGGCATGTGTTAAATGGGCGTATGTACAAGTGCGCGCACACACGGGTGGATGAGTGATGTACTCGAGGAGGTGCAAGTGCACATGCCCGTGCACACGTGGAAACCAGAGGTCAATGTCATCATCTTTCTCTATCACTCTCTGTTTTATATTTTGAGTCCTTAAACCTGGCGCTAGCTAGCCAGCAAGCAAGCCCCAAGGATCCACCTGTCTTGACCCCCACTTCAATGGGGTTACAGACAGATGGCTCTGCCCCTATCTTTTATATGGAGGTTGGGGTTGAAACTTAGGTACTTGTCTTTGTATGCCTAGCATTTTACCCACTGGGCTATCTTCTCTGCCTCAATGCCAAGCTGAGATCTATGCCAATCTCTTTTATAAGATATATATATATATATATATATATATATATATATATATATATCTTTTGGGGGGTGGTGTTTGTTTTTTGAGACAGGGTTTCTCTGTATAGTCCTGGCTGTCCTGGAACTCAACTATGTAGACCAGGATGGCCTCGAACTCACAGAGATCCGCCAGCCTCTGCCCCCGAATACTGGGATTAAAGGCGTGCACCACCGGCACCCAGCTGTTTGGTTTTTGAGACAGGGTTTCTCTGTACAACCCTGGCTGTCCTGGAACTCACTTTGTAGACCAGGAGGGCCTCGAACTCACAGAGATCTGCCTGCCTCTGCCTCCTGAGTGCTGGGATTAAAGGCGTGCACCACCACCATCCAGCACTACAGGTGTATCTTATTGAGGCAATATTTGCACACTTGCATTCACGTGGCTCTTTCTCTCTTGGCAGGATCTCCCAGCCATCCAACCCCGGCTAGTGGCGGTCAGCAAAACTAAACCTGCAGACATGGTGATTGAGGCCTATGGCCATGGCCAGCGCACTTTTGGAGAGAACTATGTAAGACACCTCTTATAAAGAGCCCTTGGAGGACTTGTGACTGCCAGGATTCTGACTTGTTTTGTTCTTGCTCCTTAGGTTCAGGAACTACTAGAAAAAGCATCAAACCCTACGGTGTGTAGACACGACAAGTATTGGTTTTGTATAGAAGTCTTAGCTCTTAGCTGAAGGTTTGACCCATGTTGGTGATGGAATTTTACAGCAGAAAGCTGGGCTAGGGGCAGAAATTGTCCACACTTCCCTGGAGCCCCAAATAATTCATAGCTAGCCTTTCTGCCTTTATTCAGACTTTAATATTCTCTTTGTGTCTGTTTATGAATAAAGATTTAGGAGCTCACCAAGTCTCGGGAGATTTGAAAGCTTAAATCAGAGGCTATAGGATGCAGCCCAGTGGCAGAGTACTTGCCTTGAAAACAAATCATTTTTGTCTCTAATGAATACCTGATAGATACAGGGGGTTGATGGGAACAAGGAAGGGAAACGGCATTAAGTTTGGGTGACTCTCTGGGTTTCCTTGTGTTTCGGTGGGAGACTGGCTGAAGAGGGCAATGGTGGTTCATCGGCCAAGGGATAGGATAGGCATTAAGGGGCTGAGCTGACAGGACCTCTGTGGAGTCCATATCAAATGATTCCCTTTTTCTCTTCAGGTCCTGTCTTCCTGTCCTGAGATCAAGTGGCACTTCATTGGCCATTTACAGAAACAGAATGTCAACAAATTGACGGGTAAGACAAAACTCTGTCAATACGAAGACAGTCCTTCCCTGTGACTGTGTAGCTTCTACCACCTTCTGAGGAAGCAGCTCTGAGAACCCTCCTAGCTCACCATTTTGAATAAAACATAGTAAAATAAAAATAAGAATGAACTATAAAGATTGGGAGGAGGTGTGGCTAAGCAGTAGAGTGTTCCTAGCACTTACAAGGCCCTAAGTCAATCCACAGCACCATAAAAAATAATTACTAACTACAGAACTATTTCACCATGTGGCGTGTGAGGATTTCAAATAACTTCTCTCAGATATCAAAATTTAGGAAACCTATATTTTTTCCCCCTTTTTTTGAGGGAGTTAGGTTGAGGCCGATTGTATGTATAGAGGTCCAAGGACAACACAGAGGGGTTGGTTCTCTTTCCATTATGTGGATCCCAGGGATTGAACTCAGGTTGACAGGCTTGGCAGCAGGCACCTTTACACTAAACCGTCTTGTCTCCCCTGGTATCAGTGTTATCAGAGTGCAACTGATAAAAACATATCCAACTACAATTAATTGCGCACATTGACAGTGTCTGATTTTATAAGTTTTGTCATAGCATTACAACCTTGAAACCATTACAAGAATTAAAGCAGTGGGTCACCCATCACCCCAGAGGCTCCTTCTTGTCCTCTTGTCCAGGTGCTCCTTGTCTGTTTCGCTGCTGCAAATTTCATGTTTTAGAATTTTGTGTAAATGCAATTATTTTTTTAAAAAAGTCTCTGATCTCCATCAATCCTCATTAGGCATTTGACCTTTGTCATGTTTGTGTGGTTCCTTCATCTTCTTATTCAATAGTATTCCACTAGTAAACGTATTACAATTACATATTACAATAGTATTCCACTGCATAAATATATTACAGTTCCATATTACAATAGTATTCCACTGCATAAACATATTGCAGTTCCATATTACAATAGTATTCCACTGCATAAACATATTGCAGTTCTTCATTCACATTGATGAATATTGAGTTACTTGTAGTTTTGCATTATTACAAAGAAGCTACTATACCGGATGTGGTGGCACAAGCCAGAATTCCCAGCACTCAGGATTAATAAACAAATGTAATAAAAATAAAAGAAAATTTTGAACCATTATTTTATCACACTTTATTTTTTCTTCCCCAATTACTTACTATACTATTTCAGAGTTCACTATTTGTTTTCGCTTCTTCTGCCAAGGCAGGAACTGAAGCAGATACCATGGAGGAATGTTGCCTACTGGCTTGCTCCCCATGGCTCACTCTGCCTACTGTCTTAGACAACCCAGGACTACCTGCCCAGGGATGGCGCAGATCAGTGAGCTGTGCCCTCCCACACCACATCCATCATTAACCAAGAAATGCCCATGGACATTTGCCTACAGGCCAGAGATCAAAGGCCTTTTGAGTGCTTCCTCTGGCAACAGGAAAATGAAACCTGCTCTTTCTCATTGCAGCTGTCCCCAACCTCTTCATGCTGGAAACCGTGGACTCCGTGAAGCTGGCAGACAAGGTGAACAGTTCCTGGCAGAAGAAGGGTTCTCCTGAACGGCTAAAGGTGATGGTCCAGATCAACACCAGTGGAGAGGAGAGTAAGTGACCAGCCCTGACTGTAGATATTGGTGCCTTAGGTGACTGGAGCTGAGGTGGGGTGGGGAGTAAGCATCTGATGTGGAGATTGTGGGAGTCCCCAGCCTCTCAGCTGCTTTGACCCTGGTAGGTGCTGATTTTGAGCAATGATAACTTTGATGTTCTAGCAACTGTCCGAGATCTTCCTCAGTCCCCTCCTGAAAGGGATTGAGAGATACATGCATAATGCTCCTTGGGTCTCGGGACAGTCACCCAATGTTCCATGAGGCCAGACTAGAAGAGAACCTGCTGACCCCAGTGAGGGGCTGTCTCGGGGCCCGGCACAGCTGTGTTGCAGCCGTGAGTCACAGAGGAGCGTGGGCTCAGACATCAGACAGATGAGTGCTCGCGCTCCACCGCTTTCTGTCTTTGGAGCTTTCTGTCAGTTACCTCATCTCTCCGTACCTGAACTCCCTTGTGTGGCAGTGGCATGGGGGGTGCCCCCGTCAAGAGTGTAGTGAGGGTTCCGTGCCATGGTGCAGAACCCTGGATTCCCTTGCTTGCTCTTTGCTCGGAGTGAATGCTAGGCTTTAGCCTGGAGCCGTCTTCTAAGCACTCACGTGTAGCCGATCCTGGCGGGGAGGAGTCCAGGGCAGGCATGATTTCCAGGTGTGCTCTAGAGTCAGGCTGCCTGGGCTCCCATCTCGGGTTCACAGGTCTAGTCTTCTAGCCTTAAAAGGGACTTAGCCTGCCTGCCTCAGTTTCCTCTGGAGGCTGATACTAGAAAGAATACCTGCAGTGACTGTATAAAAGGTAAAGTCTTAGAGCTGGCAGTGTTCGGTAGACTTTAATGGTTACCTCTCTCTCTCTTTCTCTCTCTCTCTATATATATATTCTCCAGAGTGTCTTTATTACATTTCTTGACAATTAGCTGTGATTTTTCTTAATTAAACCATAGTGAAAATTCCTGACAACTCCATTAAATAAACGGGGGCAAAGGCCAAGCAATATTAATAGTTATTAGACTACATAACATAATTATCTGCTGCAGTTCCCCCAACTAGTCTCAGCTAGTAAGCTAAGCTTTGCAAATACACAGCCCTGAATTTATCATGTCTGTATAATTTATTTTTTTGCATTACTATTAATAAATTGGTGAAACCGTACAGATGCCAGGATTAGAAAAAAGTTCTGAGACTCATCTAGGACATTGTCAGGGTGACTCCCCCTAATGTTGCAAGACTTATGTTTCTATTTCTGTGATAAAACACCACGACCAAGGCAACTTACAGAGGAGGGGTTTCTTTGGTTTATGGTTCCAGGGGGATAAGGTCCATGGCAGGGGAGCATGGAAGCTGAAACAGAAGGCAAGGGCTCACATCTTAAGCCACAGACATGGAGGAGAGACAGAACTAGGAGTGATACATGGCTTTGAAACTCCCCCAGCCGGCACCCATGACATCTGTCCAGCAAGGCCACATCTCCTAGACCTGGCTAAACAGTGCCAGCCACTGGGAACAAAGCATTCAAACACAGGCGTCTATAGAGGACATTCTCGTTCAAACCACAGCATACTTTTCCTTTTCCGTTTCCATTTCCCCAGCCATTCTCAGAGAAAACCCTGTGGGGTACGGCTTAGTGCGTGGAGCCTGTGAATGCAGAGCCCTGGTTCAGTCTCTGGCACTGAAAAAAAAAAGCAGAATCCTGCAGTGGAGTAAAAAGAATCTGAACAAACGTAGACCCGAGTGGAGAGAGGCAGGTGTGGAGAACTGCACCTGCACAGTCCCTCTGGAGGCTCAGTTACTCCATCCGAGCCACCTCTGTGGACGGAAGGGATGAAGGCATAGACTTCTTCTGCCTGCTTAAGACATATTGGTATACCCATCCTCTGTTTCTTTCTGTGAAGGTAAACACGGCCTTCCGCCTTCAGAGACCATAGCCACGGTGGAGCACATAAAGACCAGTTGTCCCAGCCTGGAGTTTGTGGGGCTCATGACCATAGGAAGCTTTGGACATGATCTTAGTCAAGGACCAAACCCAGACTTCCAGGTACTGGGGTAGGGGTGACGCTCTTGTGGGGCTGTGTGTGGATCCCGCTGGTGGGGTGTACCCAGCACGTGCAGCGCCTGTGCTTGATCGCAGCCCCAGTGGGGTGCGGTGGCATTACACCAGCTTACAGGGCTGGCTGTGTGGTGTAGGCGGACTGCCAGTCCCCAAATAACCGACATGGAGCCTTAAGATTATAAGTGGTCAGCCAGTACTCAGGCTTGTTACTGGCTAACTCTTACATTTAAATTAACCATATTTCTTAAGCTTTGCCGTGTGGTTTGGTCCCTTTTTTCAGTACAGCATGCCCACCTTGTTTCCATTTCTGCTCGCAATTCCTGTGACCCCACCCTTCTTCCCATCATTCTCAGTGTGATTGTCCCACCTATACTTCCTGCCTGGCTACCAGCCAATCACCTTTTTATTAGCCATAAGAGCAACACATTTTCACAGTGCACAGGATTATTCCACTACTGTGGAACTTCAGGGATCTCCCAGAACACAGCCTGTCGGTGCACTATTCCAGCCTCTTCCGAACTCCCCTCCGGAGAAAAAACAAGACCAGGCCCCCAGATACACAGAGACCTTCCTTAACTCAGTTTTAACTTGGTTAAAGCAATTTTTGGATTAAGCTTTCCTTCCTCTCTCATAACTGGCAGTTTGCATTTTTATTGCTGTTGGGTTTGTTTTATTTCACTTTGGGTGTTGCTGGTTTTTATCCCCACTTCTTGAGGTGGAACCCGGGGTCTGGAACATGCTGTGAAAGCATTCTACCCCCGAGCCACACCCACCCTGGCCCTGGTGATTTTCTTGACAGTAGGAAACATGGCTAAAGCACTTATAGTAACTTCTGATAATTATTACCCGCCTCAAAATCACGAAGGATAGAATCATCAGAAATGGTTTGAAGCTGGGTGGTAGTAGCACACGCTTTTAATCCCAGCACTTGGGATGCAGAGGCAGGAGGCTCTCCCATGAGTTCGAAGCCAGCCTGGTCTACAGAGCAAGTTCCAGGACAGGCCCCAAAGCTACAGAGAAACCTTGTTTGGGGAAAAAAAGAAGAAAGAAAGAAAGAAAGAAAGAAAGAAAGAAAGAAAGAAAGGGGGAGGGAGGGAGGGGGGGAGGGAGGGGAAAAAAGAAAAATTTTGGTTTGGTAACTTTCCTTTTGTTTCCATTTTGATGGGTTTTGCTTTTCTTCTGTTTTGTCTGTTTTGTTTGTTTTGTTTTGCTTGCTTTGTTTTGGAGACAAGTTACCACCCTATGTAGCCCAGGCTGGCCTTGAACTCAGGGTTCTCCTACCTGTTCCCAAGGATTACAGGCTAGCAGCACCATACCCAGCAGACTTGGTCATCTTTTGACATCCCAGGAAACAACCAGAATAAAATGGTAACCCTTATGTTCGGTCAGGTGTTACTGCGCCTGCGGCAGGAGCTGTGTGAAAAGCTGAGCATTCCTGTGGAGCAGGTGGAGCTGAGCATGGGCATGTCCGGGGACTTCCAGCATGCTGTAAGTGTCTTTGCCGGGCGGCCGAGGGGCAGGGTGGGTCCTGCCATAGGCTTTAAATGCCTCGTCCTAGACACAGTGATTCAGCCTTTTTAACATCTATGAAAACTACACTCAAATGCTTAAAACTCAATGTAATCCACTACGTGTAACCTGGGAAAAGGCTGAGGTGTAATTCAGGCTTTAATGAATGTGTTACATTGTGGGTTTGCTCTCCCAGCACCAAAGAAGAAAGGGAGAACTGATTTTCAAAGGCATTTCCTACGTAAGCCCTAGGCGTTAGCTCTGGGACCGTACGTATAAGCCAAGGCTAGCAGCTCACTCGCCTGAGTTCCTAGGGTAATGAATAGTAACTGGGCACCGTGCACATGCCTGTAGTCCCAGCACTTGGAAAACAGTCAACCGGGCTGCTGTTGAGTTTCAAACCAGTCTGATACCCCATAAGTCCCATGCAAGCCAAGGCTACAATACTGAGACCCTGTCTTAAAAATAAACAACAAACAAATAAATAAATGCAAAGTTTTAAAAAAAAATCCAAGTACAAAATTGCATTTTGGGAGTATCATATACATTACAACAGTGTAAAAATTCTAAACTTTACGTAGGTAACTACTTGTTCTTTCCATTTGGCCAACCCTGGCCCTTGGTCGTGGAGTGCAGGGCGGCTCTTGCTGGGCCGCTCTGTCCCACACCTCAGGTCCCTGCCATCCTTTCTCTCGACCACTGCCTGAGCAGGGGCCCTGCTCTGGGGACTCCAGAGCGCCTAGCCATCTTCAGCTTGGTCATTCCTTACGCAGCCTCTGGGCACCCAAAACTCTGTACAGCCTCAGCACCAGCTACATTTAGCCTTTGAGTCTCTCCTCTGCGCCCTCTTCTCTCCCACAGATTGAAGTGGGATCCACAAATGTCCGGGTAGGAAGCACCATTTTTGGAGAGCGGGATTACTCCAAGAAACTCACCCAAGACAAGACTACAGCAGACCCGAAGGCCTGAGTGCCGGTGGCACAGGAACAGCGAGGCCAGGTCAGCTGAAAGATGGACTACACACCAGCCTGGGTTTTCCGTCTGGTCCGCATGCTCCCAGCACACACTCCTGTGGCCCGGATAGAACGCTGAGGATCACCTGTGCCGATGGAAACCACCTGTGCTTCGCCTCGCTGTAGGAGGCTCCATTCAAGCAGTCACTTAGGCTTAAATTTGAGGAGTTCCAAGACTTTAGAACTGACGCCGAGTCAGTAGCCAGGAACTAGACACTGCCAGGAGCACCCCAGCCTCCATGAATGCCTTTCCCGGGGCAGCTTCTGGGTTCCTGGTGTCTGTAATGGAGAAAATCGGGGATTCCCGTTTGCCCTTCCACCCTGATAGAGCACCCTACAGTTGTTCCGACAAGTCCCCACCGAACACTCACTCGCTCCTCTGGAACGGGATGACTTTTGCTGCCCTGGCCAGTGATGCCTCTAGCCACAGCTCCTCTGTGGCACTGACCTGAAATTCCAGGGTAAAGAGCACTCGGGCCTTTCTGACATCCTGCTGAAAAGATGGTCCTTGGGGACTATAGTGTTGGAAAGTGAGGGTTTCTTCTCGATCATGATCCTTTTCCAGCTTTAGCAAAGACTGCCCCCCACTTGGAGACAGACGCCCTTCAACATCAGTTCCAGCGCATGGTTTCCAAGGCCTGACTCACCTTTTCTTCTCTGGGGTCATATTTCCCAGGTGTACTGATCGCACCCCAACACACACACTTTATTTATAAGCCAGAATTTTGCAGCTCTTGATTGTTCGTAATGTAACAAGATCGTCAAAAACCTGGAAGCAACTGGACATAGTAGCACCTGCCTATAACTTGGTGTTTCGGAGGCACAGACAGAAAGAACAGGTGCCAGACAAAGGCTAAATAACAGAACAACCTCGGAAGCACAATTCAGTAACCACAGAAGAGCTCCGGTGGGGGCTGTTTAGTTCCCGATAGATTTTCTCTTGTTTACGCCAGCCCTTCTTCACTTATTTACCCAGTAACTTCAGAACCTGCTGCTGAATGTAATTTCATAAATTTAAACTTATGGTTCTTGTTGTGCTTCGATCAAAACTAGTGTGGTATTTCAGAGTCTTAAATACAAATGTGAGCTTGAATTATACCATCTGTGCCAACTGCAAAGTGATTAAAGCTTTATTTTTATGATCCAGTGTCAATGAGTGGATGTAGCAAGGGGGGCATCGGGGCTGATAGGAAGCAGCTGCGTTCGCTCTGGAGAGGCATCTCCTTGAGTCAAAGATGCCACCAAGGCCATGCCATATATACAAGGAGAGTTCTGAACTTAAAGAGCAAGAAAAAGTCTTCGCAGAGCTTCATGACATGCCTGTAAACACAACACACGGACGGTGGCGAGCTCTAGACCAGCCAGGGCTACATACCAAGTTTCATGCCACCTGGGCTGTAGAAAGGAGCCTGCCTCCCGCTGCATGAAGTTCTTTTGATTGCCTCTAGGTGGCGACATTGGTTAACCTGAAGAGCACACGCCCTTGGCTCCATCAGCCGTTTCTCCTACTGGGGACTGTTCAGATTTACTTGCTGTGTGAGCAGAAATGGAGGCACGAGAGGACATGTCTTCCCAGGTGACCCACGGACTTTCAGACTTACGGGTGTGTCTGGCAATCTCACGTCCATGCTGACTTGGTTCAGGAATCTGAGGGTGACTCTGGAAACTTTGGGGAAAATGAAATGGTTAAGCAATAAAAAGTCTCCCTGGCTTGTGCCTAGAGATTAATAACACGGCAGAGGAGAAGCCAGGAGAGGCTGTAGCCCAGTTGAAGAAATCCAGACTATATCCAGTGACCCTCAGCAGGATGACTCTCTTGAGAAAATTCGGCCAGGCTATGAAACTGTCTTTTGTTTCATGTGAGGCAGCCGGTCAGGTTACTCCCATGTTTTTATAGCAGCAGTGACAGCATCAGGGCAAGTTTTAGAGTCCAACCCACCCATCCCCCCATGCAGAATTTGCCGCCGCTCCCTGACAGCCCATGCCCTGGGCTTTGTTTTGGAGTGTGTGTGTGAGCATGCGTGCACACACACATTCCCTGTATTAGGGTTCTCTAAGCAACAGAACAGATCATGTGTGTGTATGGTTTCTTAGAGTGGCTTACAGGCTGTGGTCCATGTCATCCAACAACACATGTGTCCTGCTGGAAAGGCCAAAGATCCAGTAGTTTCTCTGTCCACAAGACTGGATATCCCTGGAGCCAAGGAGGTCCTAGAGAGCTGCACATTGGAATATGGGTCAGGATAGACAAAGCTTGCCCGTGAGAGTGGGGCAGGCAGGTAGAAAGCACAAATTTCCTTCTTCCACGTCTTTACATGAGCTGCCAGTATAAGGTGTGGCCCAGATTTAACGTGAGATCTTCTGACCTCCAAAGATCCCGACTTCAGTGGGTCTTCCCACTTCAAACAGCCAACCAAGAAAAGCCTCTCCCAGGTGTGCCCAGCCACATGGGTTCTCGTTACTTTCAAATGTCAAGTTGACAACCAGCCCAGATCAGTCATCACGTATCTCAAGCCAGCACCAGGTTTGAGAGGCTCAGGAGACCCCTGGTGACCTACCAAAGATTTGGTCTCTTGGGAGGAGGCCAGACACACAGACACATGCCTGTGGCGCTGGCGATGGGGCCCAGGCCCTAGGAGATAAAGGGAGTGCACTGCCCCGAGGTTGCACCCGGACACAAACCATGTTACACCATTTTTATATGCACTAATTATACACAATAATGAACTTCATTGTGACATTCTTGTGCTTGTAAAAAGTGCATTTTGGTCATATTCACCACCCATCTCCTCTCTTGGTCACCTCCCACTCCTGCTGGGTCCCTTACTCTTTCCAGCCAGTCCCTTCTACCTTCATGGCCTTTGCAAAACCCCCCTCACCACATACCTTAATGCAAACCCTGTACCCCACCCCACTCCCTTTTTTAAACCTTCCTGGTCTATAAGTCCTCTCCCTGTATTCTCTCTCTTTAAAAATAAAATATTTAAGCTTTTTTTAAGTTTTATGTGTATGGGTGTTTGACTTGAATGTGTATATGTGTACCCCATGTGTGCCTGAACACATGGAGGTCAGAAGAGGGTGTCGGATTGTTGAATGTTTGGGAGCCACCATGTGGGTGCTGGGAAGTAACCTGGGTCCTCCCAAAGACCAACAAGTGCTCTTAACTGCTAAGCCGTCTCTCCAGCCCCTACCCCTTTAAAAAATATGAGTATGGATGTCTTGGCTGCATGTGTGGCTACACACTGCATTTGTGCAATTCCCACAGAGGCCAGAAGAGGGCGTCAGATCCCCTGGAACTGGAGCTACAAATATGGGTGGTGGGATTCAAACCCAGGTCCTCTGCAAGAACAGCCAGGGTTCTTAACTGCTAAACCAGCTCTCCTTTCCCTTTTTAATCTCTGTGTGTGCATGTACCTTCATGTGAGTGAGCGGGGGACGTGCCCTTGCCACTACAGGTGTGTGGAGATAAGAGGGCAATCTGCGGTCCGTGGCGTCCAGTTCTCACCTTGTTTGAGACCGGTCACTTTGTTGTTCGTAGCTGTTATACCAGACTAGCTAATCCACAAACTTTCGGGGATTTTCCGGTCTCAGCGTCCCATCCTGCAGGAGAAGCACTGGGGTTACACATACTTGCTACTGTGCCTGGCTTCGCATAGGTTCTGGGGATTTGAACTCGGGTCTTCATGTTTGCATAGTCTTCAGTTATCCACTAAGTCATCTCCCCAGCCCTGTGTTCTCTCAGGACAGCTTCTCAGTATCTATCTATAAGTATCCCTTTCCTGGATCCAGCACTGAGGCTGGGAGTGAGGACAGGCACATAACGTTGTCTAAGGTCAGAAAAAGCTATCATTGGCTGCTATTATTATTATTATTATTATTAGGCACTGTTAAGACTGGCACCTGGGGGGTTTCTGCAGGCCACCAAGTTACATTTGGCCTCCAATGCTGGCTTTAGCCAGTGATGAGTAGTGTGCTAGAGTTGCAGCTTTTAACTCCAGAAAGCCATATTACTGTGGAAGAAATGCACATTTTTCGGTCCACTGTGCTAGTTGAGAACTATGTATCTTAATACAGAACAAACTCTGAAACCGCAAGCCGTGGGAGTGAGAAGGAAGGAGAATTAAGCCCAGACACGAGGAGAGTCAGTCTCCCCTCATCCCATTTCCCTGGCTGGTGCACTCCTCCTCCAGATCGGTTCTCACACAGGCTACAGGGCTCCAAGTGTACAAGACTGTCCCCACCCACGCCCTAAGCTGGGGTGGCAGCAACTCCTGTTACCCGAGGCTAGACAGGGAAGGGGTGAGGGTCAACGTGCGCAACTCCTATGCTTCCTACCAAAGCTTCAGGAGAAGGACCGTTCCTGAGAGGGGGCTGAGTGGGGTGTTGCCAGGGTGCAGTTGGAAATGGTTTGCTCTGAGAACTGTGACTGTCCTTACCATGAAATCAGTTGGATGCTCTTACATCATCCTCATGAGTAAGGGCCAAGGAATCCAAACCACCGCCATCCTCCCAAATGTTTTACTCGTCTGCCTTCTCTGGAGAAGCACAAAGAAAGGGGATTTTTTTTTTTTTTTGCTTTGTTCTGGGATCTAACCCAGACCCTAGCACATGCTAAGCAAGGATACTACCACGGAACCACATTCCCAGCCCAAGAAAACCATACTCTTTCCTAACTGTTTTTGTATCAACTTGTGTATGCCATGATTCTGGATGTTTGAGCAGACGTTCGTTTTTTAAAAATATGTATAATTACAACGTGTGTGCGTGACACGCTTGAGCACAGGTGTGCTTGTGGCAATCAGAGGGCAGCTTGCTGGAGTCGGGGCTCCCCTTCCATCCTCAGGTCATTGCGGTCACATGGCGAACGCTTCCCCCTCCGCGCTTGAGTCGGCATTTACAAGGTGCTTAAACCTAAGTTCCCCTGTAATGACTTAAGCATCCCCAGGGGCCTCGGAACACTCCCTTCCCTATAAAGGGTTGAACGGGTCAGCTCAAGGAGCCTTTGGAAGGGACAGGAGCGGTGACGCGGCGCCTTCCCTGTATTTAATTTCCGCGAGCCTGCCTCTGAGATGCCTCAGCAGCAGGTGGCGCAGTTTGGGCACTGCCGTGCTTCTTGACTGTTAATGAGTCCGGCTACCCGGTGCCAGTTGCGTGCTAGGTTTGCCTCCAGCCGCCATCCAACAGTGGCCTGGTTCTGCAGCCTCGGAACTCAGCTTGACTGGGGGCTGCCAATTTCCAAAATAAAATCAACGTGTGACCTTATTCAGCAGATGTACCAAAGAAACAAGCGCAGAGCAGGGCCAATTCTGGAGCCAAAAAGGGAAGATGAGAAGAGGGAGAAAGAGGAGGGGAGAGAAACTTGGCCGGACATGAAAGGTGTCTTGTCCGTCTGGTCCCCATTAGGCGCAATTCTCTCGCAATCTGCAGCCTCAACATAATTCTCTTGACCAGAAACTCTCCCGAGAGATAGTGTCGGAAGGAAAAACAAACAGCGCTGGTCCATCTTCTGAGAGCAACGTCGTTTAAAAACCTATTTGGGGGCAGGGAGAAGAGAGGAGATGTCAGCCTATCAGGGGAGGGCGCTCTCCACAGCTTGCTACATGTTGACTGGGCAGGACAGGAAGAGGGGCCCAAGGAGGGCTGCTGAACAAGGCTAAGGCTGCCCCAGGAAGCTAGCCCCCAAGGCTTTTGACACCGCTGTCCACTCTGATACCTCACGATCTGCCTTGTGTGGCTTTTCTGGGCCTGAGCTCAACGCTAAATCCCCATGTGGGCCGAGTCTGTAGCTTGGTGATGGAGTACTTTACCTGGCGTGCACAAGGCTCAAGGTTCTATCCCGGGAGGTGCAAAGCCAACTAGAAGAGGAAATCACCATGGCGCTGGGCTTTTTCACCTTCCCGAAACATGGAGAAGAACTCAAGAGTGTTTGGAAGAAAGGAGCCCCCACCTGGGATGGCTCCCCTTTTCCTCTTTGGACAGCACCTGCTGCCAAAAGCCAAGAATTGAGCTCTCCCTAGAAACCGCTGCCAGCTCCCCAGACAGCAAAGGCCCTCTCCCAATCCCCTTTGACTTGCCTTGGAGCTAAACAGCCTAGCACCAGGGAAACAAGGCCCACCCCACCCATAGGAGCCCAGGGGAAGGT